CTTCTTCTAACACGACTGGCTATGTCACGTTATCACGGAGGCAGAGTGGCCGGGCTCATGTGGGCCACCAAAGGAGTGATCGTTGGATGCCCCATGGCCGCTACAATTTGTGTTCCTCGCGCAGCTTCTCGACCATAGCCTGTCCAAGCTGCCAAGAGGTCTCCAGTTGGATATGTCCATCGACGACCGAGGAATCTCTGCCAGGGGCAAACCGCGCGAAGTCATCGAGACCATTGCCCAAGGTTCGAGCTCGATCGAGGAGGCCTTGAGGAGGGAGATGGGAAGTAGCATATCTCGGGACAGGCAATCTCATCGCGTCCTGCCTGAAGCTTGCCAATGCTATACGACGGAAGATTGGAGATCTAGTTGGATCCCCAGTGCGGTCTGCAGTCATCTTTGGAGTTGACGATGTTCGCGGGCGCCCTCTTCGAGCTGCCCGCAGCGGAGAGATCGCAGGAGTTCGTTGGGGCGTTTTCGAAGCCAAGGCTCGAAGGGCAAAATAGCACAGTTCGACCCTGGGGCGTTTCGCCGAATAGCTTCATGTCGCTGGTCCGCTTCCCAGGGTGATTCACGGGTTCGAGTCCAGGGGTTTCAACCACCACGAGTGGGCCGCGGCCCGCTGAGCTTCCGGTGCCATGCGTCAGCCGCGCGCAGGTGAACGCCCACTCACGTCTCTCCTCTTTCCGGACAGGTGCCAGCCCGATTATGCGACAGTAGTCGACAGCGGTCTGGGCGCGCCAATCTCACGCCCACCCTCGTCGCGCCCCCTTCCCCGATCTTGCACTTGGGCAGGAGGCAGCGTTCGAAGGTCGGAAGGAGGCGACAAGTTGGAGGAACGTTGCTGGACCCTCTCCGCGACAAAGCTGTCTCTTCGCTGCCTAAGATGGGCTGCGCCTTCTGCCGCGGAGCTCGTCGACGATGTTCGGCGCTTCCAGATGTTTGACCGTTTGCTCGCCTGCCTTCGTGAAGAAGGCCCTTCACTCCACCGGTGCTGCGACGGCCAGAGAGGGCGAGCGCGCCCTCGTTGCCCCCGGATGCCAAGCGCCGGCGCCGCGATCAGATCGGGGCGCGGCGGCATCTGGACCAAGGGGCACGCCGGCAGCAAGGGGGATAAAATCCAGAATCGTGGCAGCCCGCGCGAATCCTGCGAGGGCCATTTGGTGGATTGGCCATGGTTTTGCCATGCTCGCAGGAAGGAGTGAGATGAGGTATCCGAGAAGGCCCCACACATCGAGCGGCCCAAGATCGACGAGGCTGACTTCGACGACCCCGAGACGCTCCCGTTGTTCGCCAGAGGCCTCTTCCGACACCCTGGCGAAGGAGATGCGTTCATGGACGGGTCACGTTTCACGGGTGCGGTTCCAGAATTGCCCAGGAACGCGTCAAGGCACGTTGTCTACCGCGAGGACAAGGAGATCCTCTGCCGCGGCGACGCCCCCCATTTGGCCCGATTTTGTGGGCGCCGAATTTTGTGGGCGCTCGTTCGTGGGCCAGCTGGACCTTTCTGGAAGTTCGGGTTTCTCGGACTGCCTCAACGTGGCCCGCCAGTGTGATATCCCAACAGGCGGGAGGCTCTCATATAAAAGTCCCCACGGCGGTTGTTTCGTTTCTGGAGGACTGTCTTGAGACCCTCACGAAGGCGAAGGACCACCAAAAGGCGAACCCTGACTGACCTTGCCCCAGAGTTGCAGTATCACAACTAGGAGTCGACCTGGCTGGCGCGATGGCGAAGGTTGGAGCCCGACGCCACCCCCAGCCCACTCAAGAGCAACAGGACTGAATGGCATTTCGGTGTCGGATATTTTAACGGATTTGTTCATTGGCCGCGAGCTTGCTTCCCGCTCTGGACTAAGCTTAATACGTCTGAGGTCGAGCTCACGAAACAGGCTGGCCCTAAAGCTGTCCCAGCTGCGCCCCACGCACGGAACTGGGACGGCAGGCGCTGGCAACGCGAGCGTTTTCTTCAGAGGTTCCAGAGCGGCGTCTCGTCTGGAGCCAGGCGTGTGCAAAGGCGGCCCGGGCATAGGCATCAGTGGCCTGGGCGCGCCCAGGTTGCAGGCGCTGGGCCACAGTATGTCATTTTCAGAGGCCCACGACACCAGCTTCGTCGTTTTATCCGCACGCGCTCTGAATCTTACACGGCGGGACGCCATGCAAGAGGTTGTCGGCTGGCCTGCTAACCTCCGTCCTTCTTGTTTTAGAAGCCTGACCAGAAAGCGGCAGATCAGGGTAGGCAGCACACTTGGAATTGCGTTGCTTTTGGGAAAGCACCCCAAGCAGAAAGGGGTGTTCGTGGCGGGGCCCTGGTCCGAGGGTAACATCTCACTTGGGGCTGAGTCTGAGGAGGAGTCTCAGACTCCAGCTCCATACGCTGACCGAGCGGGATGAGGAGATCAAGGATCTCCGCGTCGTCCGCACGTGCCTCCGTCTCCTCGCAGCGGTTTGCGCCAGCCCCGTTGGAAACGGGACCGAGGGTGGCGATTATGATTGATCAGTTCGTCGGATTGTTCTATTGTCCCCTCCCTGTGCCTGGTTTGGAAACCCAGGGACGGCACCCTTCCTTGCGGTTCTGTGGGTCGCCCCGCGGGCCGACAGCAAGCGATCGAGAGCTGCCAGTGTGCAGCATGGCGTTCCTTGACAGGATGCTCCCCCTGAGTGTCATCCCCCAGAGGGTACACGTCGGGGTTGATTCCCTACCTAGGGTCTGCCTAGACGGTTCTTACTCTCTTTGTTAAAGGGGCCGGGCAGTAGAACTCGCCCCGGGCGGTTCCCCCAGTCCCCGCCCCGCGGTTCCCCCAGTTGCGCCCCCTGGGCTCACACAGCTAAGCTTAGCTAAGCTTAGCTTTAGCTTAGCGTTAGCTTAGCGTTAGCTTAGCTTTAGCTTCGCTCTACCTTAGCGTTAGCTTAGCTGTAGCTTAGATTTAGCTTAGCTTTACCTTAGCGTTAGCTTAGCTTTAGCTTAGCGTAAGCTTAGCTTAAGCTTAGCTGTAGCTTAGCTGTAACGTAGCTTCAGTTTAGCTGTAGCTTAGCTTTAGTTTAGCTCTAGCGTAGCTTTAGCGCAGCTTTAGCTTAGCTTTAGCTTAGCATTAGAGTTGATTTATCTTATAGTTAGCTTAGCTTTAGCTTAGCTTGAGTTTAGCTTTATCTTAGATTTAGCTGAGCTTTAGCTTAGCTGTATCTTAGCTTTAAGTTAGCTTTACTGTTACTATTAATGCTGCTTCCCTAGGGGCTCCAACTCCTAGGTAGGGTCGCACTGGGATAATGTTACACACATATCTGTCTGTCTGTCTGTCTGTCTGTCTGTCTGTCTGTCTGTCTGTCTGTCTGTCTGTATGTATGTATGTATGTATGTATGTATGTATGTACGTATGTGTGTATGGATGTATGTGTATGTGTATGTATAGATATATGTATCCTGCTCTTCCTCCTCCTCCTCCTCCTCCACCTCTGCCTCCTAGTCCTCGTCCTCCTCCTCCTCCTCCTCCTCCTCCTCCTCCTCCTCCGCCCCCTTCTCCTTCTACTGTGCCCCCCTCTCCTGCTCATCTAGACTTCGGGCGGTCTACGGAGGCACCTGGTGTCCCTCCAGTCCCCGCAGGCCCCCTGGGGGCGCCAGAAGACCAAAAGTTGGGTCCCGCGTGATGATTAGGTGATAAATGGGGGGGGCAGCGAGGGCTGCCAAAAAGGTGCCCTTCAGGGCCCCTGAAAGAGCCCGTTCGGGCCCAGAAGGGGGCCTTTAGGATCCGAAAATGGCACAGCTCCCCCCCTCAGTATACGCACGCCCCCAAAAAAGGCAGGGGAAAGTTATCCTGGCGAGAGACCCAACCATGCGCAATTGTAAATGCCGCGTTGTGGGTACCGCTTTCGGTGGAGCTCCATATGGGGCCGCGAACCGTGCGAGGGGTTTGCCAAAATGGGGCGTCGGGCGCATGCGGCATGCGCCACTGGGGCCTTCGGTGGTGCTCCCTGTGGGGCCACGAACCGTGCGAGTGGTTTACCACAAAGGGTGGCGGCCCCCGCATGCGGACCCTGCCACTGGGGCCTCCGGTGGAGCTCCCTATGGGGCCACGGAACGCTGTCTTGGGTGGCGTTGACGCATGCGGCCTGAGGCGGATGGGAAGAGGGAGGGGGAGGAGGAGGAGAGGAGTCGAGGGGCGCTCTCTGTTCAAAACGAGGACCCAACACCGCAGGATGGTTGGGAAAAACACGCCCTCGTGGTCCGCGCATCCACTCCCCTGCCGCTGATTGGAAAGTCGGCGGCCGGCCCTCAGAAGGCTGGGGGGTCCCCTGGCCTTCGGAGAAGTGCCTAAGCCTTCTCGGAGGAGACAGAAAACCTTTCAGAAGGCCAGAGGGCTTCTGAGAAGCCCCGCCGCCTTCTGAGAAGGCCTTCTCCTTTTCGCTTCCCCCCTTGCTCGCCGCCGAGAAAAGCTTTGCAGAAAGCATTAGGGAACCACTCCGCATGACCCCACTTCCTCCCCCAGCCTTGATGTCAAACAAGTGCTCCTGGAGAAGCGGTGCCGGAAAGAGCTCGAGCCCGACATCCCCAGCGCAAGACCTGCCAATGTTGAGGCAGAGGGGTGGAGAGGGGAAGTCTCTTACAGTCAAGACGCTGAAATGAGGAACAGTTTGGGTTCGGAAGGGGCTCGATGTTCCTCAGGTTCCTCCGGTGTTCTCCCTCTTGCCCTCCTGGGGCACGGAGGCGCTCACAGGGCCAAGAAGGGGCTCCGTTCCTCATTTAGCGCTCCTCCTTCCAGCGGCCCGACTGCACTTCCAGCTCGGTCGCCGCTCCTGCAAAGTTTTTGTTCCACCGCGGCACCGCGCTGCGGCGCCGCGTCCCTCGAGCACACTCTTGGGGGCCTCTCGGGAGACTTCTGCTACGTCTTCGGGAGGGGGTGGAGCGGGGAAGCCTCCTACTTCCAGCTCGGCCGCCGCTCCTGCAAAGTTTTGTTTTCCACCGCGGCACCGCGCCGCGGCGCCGCCGGCGCCCCCCCCCCCCCCTGCAGGCCGTGAAGCGCATGGCGGGCAGCCGCGGGGGCAGGAGGCAGGCGGGCACGAGCAGCGGGCAGGGCGGCAGCTCCATGGGCCGGAGCCTCGGCGCCCGCGGAGGGCTCGCGCGGCGGCGACGACGGCGACGACGGCGACGACGACGACGGCGGCGACGGCGACGACGACGACGGCGGCGACGGCGACGACGGCTGCGACGGCGACGTCGACGGCGGCGACGACGGCGGTCGATGATCATCGGAAAAAGAAGCCTGCAAAAACATGCACCGTCGGAGTCGCGAATTTCTTGGATCGGCGCTGGGCCCCTCCCTGGCGCGCGGAGCGTGTCCGTGGCGGCGCTGGACGCGCCGCCAGGGGGCTCATGCTGGATTTCTTTTCCGATGCTCAGCGACGACGACGACGACGACGACGACAAGGACGATCGACGACGATCGACGGCGACGACGACAACTCTTGATGGCGCTCGATGACGCTCGATGACGACGGCGACGACGATCGATGTTCAGCGACCACCACGACATGTTCGCATTCTTGCCCCCCGGGGGGCCCTCGTGGGGGCTCGACGGGCTGGCCAGGATGGCGTCCGAGAGGGGTCCTGGAATCGGTCTTGAGCGAACATGGGCGGAGAGGACTTGACATTTAGGCGTCATGAGAAAATCGCGGCGAGCGTTTTCAGCTTGTTTCGGCCCTTGGGACGTATGTCTGGGGAGGCGACATGGGGCCCTCACGGATCGATCTGGCCCCCGAGCTCCCGCGCAACGATGAGGTCGAGCGTTCTGGTCGTGATTCGTCTGACGGCGGGGCCATCGTAGCTCACGACGCGGCTGTCTGGGATGTGTGCGCTCCAGGAAGGGCCTCGCCTTCGAGGGACCGAGAGGTCGCCTTCTCTTCCCAGGCGGTAGGCCGCCGGCAGGCGGCGGAGGTAAGACGAGGGCGGGTCTGGCCAGCGGAAGGCAGGCGAAGGACACAGAAGTCGGCATCCCCAGAGATGGATCGGGGGAGCGTAAGACCCGGGTTTGCCAGGACTCGGGTTCGCCATCATTTTTTGACGACCGCGCCTCGGATTTTGACGAGGAGGAGTTTCGTGGGATGTCTGCAGCGGGAGGCCTCGTCAAAATGCAGGCTCGGCCTCGTCATTTTTTTGACGACTTCGTCGGGGATTTCCGAGTCCCCTGTACCCAGGTCTTACGTCCCCTTGAATGGAAGACTTTGTGAACGCAAGGCTCCTGGAAGCCTCGGCAGCGCGCACGGGGGGGATGGGGGAGCACCCTTGCTTCTTAGACGGCGCGGGCCTTCTGTATAGATTTTAGCCCCGGCGCATTCTGAGAAGCAGCCTCCTTCGAAGAAGCTTCCCCCCTCCCCCTACCCCTCCTGTGCGCGCCGCCAAACACTGCTAGGGTGATCGGGTGATTGCGCGATAGTGATCGGTGACCCGCCATCTGGTTACAGTGATCGGGTGACCGGGTGACCGGGTGATTTCAGGAAGGGGAAAACACACAGACACAAATGATCGTCGATCCCCAGGAGAATGTATGAAACATATGCGAAGTGGAAGGGCAGACGAGCATCCCAAAAATATGGAAGAAATTTGGAATCCTGGGATTTGTGTCTATTTTTTCTGTGTGTGTGTGTCCCTGGGCCCCTTGGTGATTGCGCGATTGTGATTGCCGTGGCCGGCTTGGGATCGGCCCAGGGCCCCCGTGTCGAGCGTGGCCGTGGCAGAAGCCACGGGGTCGCCCGAAGAGTCGCGACCGGAGCGCTCTATATATATCCCCAGATCTCCAACGATGTGGTGTTCTTGAGCTCCGCAGTGTTGCTTCGATTTCGGCCCTCGGGGGCCCGTGGTTGGGCGCCGGGGCCACCAGGAAGGGATCCCGGGCGAAAAGCTGTCCCCAAGGGAAGCGGTCGGGACGTTTTCAGGGTCGCGGGTTGCAGAGATCGTGTCGGCGGATGTCTCGGTACCCAACTCTGCGCTTGGATCTTCGCTCCACATCGGGCCGTGAGGGTCCAGGGGCCCGAGGCCGCTGGGCCAAAAAGGCCCGTCGCTGTCGTTCCACGGCGCGCGGACGTCCGGGCTGGCTGGGCCCATCCGAGCCGCATCAGAGCCGATCCCCCGATCCCTCCCTGGCACCATACTGGCCGGTTGTCCGAGCCGCATCAAGCCGTACGAGGGCCACCCGAGGCCCACCAAAGCAACAACAAAAAGACACGTCACAGACTTTCCCCCACACCCACCACCCCTCTTCCACACGTCAGTGTGGCCGTCGTCGATAGTTGTCGTTGATCGCCGTCGTCGATCGTTCCCGATCGTCGTCGATCATCGCCGAGCGTCGCCGATCGTCGCTGATCATCGTCGTCGTCGTCGATCATCGCCAGTCGCCGTCACCGATCGTCGTCGTCAATCTGCGTCGCCGATCGTCCATCGCCGCCGTCGTGATGCGATCGCGCGAGTGGGCGGCGTGGCCGACCCCTGGTCGGCCGCACACCCCGCGAGGCCAGACCGTGTCCAGCGAGTCGGACCACGAGCCCAGCGACGATCACGAGTGAACGGACCAGCGGACCCAGTTTTATGTAATCGCTTCGCTCATTCCGCCGGCCCATACAGTCTCATGTCTGCCGTTTGCCCGAGGGCCTGGTGTCAATGCGGCGCTTTGGGGGTTCCTGGGGCCGCTTGGGGGACTCCTGGGGCGCTCGGGGGGGCATTTGGGGGGCCTCCTGGGGCCGCTTGGGGGACTCTTGGGGGCCTCCTGAGGGCCTCGTGGGGGCCTCTTGGGGCCTCTTAGGGGCCTCTTGGGGCCTCGTAGGGGCTTCTTAGGGCCGAGGGCTCGAAATGTTGTTTCGTGTTCCCTCTCTGGGGCCCCTTTGGGGGCGTTCTTGGGGCCCTCTTGGACCGTCTTGGAGGCTTCTTGGGCCGTCTTCGAGCCCTCTTGGGCCATCTTGGGGCCCTCTTGGGGGCCCCGTGGGCCCTCTTGGGGCGATCTTGGGGGCCTCTTGGGCCGTCTTGGGGCGTCGGGAAGCCGAAAAAGTGGAAGCTCCAAAATCTTTCAAAAACATAAGCAAAAGCAATGAATTTTGCCTCCGGGGGCCCTCTTGGGAGTGCTCTTGGAGGCCTCTTGGGGCGTCTGGGGGCTATCTTGGGCGTCTTGGAGCGATCTTGTGGCATGTCGGACCCCTCGTGTACCATCTTGGGGGCCTCTTGGGGGCCTCTTGGCCTTTCTTGGGGCTCTCGGGGACGTCTCGGAGCCCTGTTGGTGCGCTCATGGGGCGCTCTGGTGGAGTCGCCCGGGGGTCAGCCGGGAGTCGCCTGGGGTACTGTTCGTCCGGGGACCCCCAGGGGCCGCCCCGCGCGCGCGAACTAGAGAATTGTTAACCAGTTACCGGAGATTTTAGCACGCCTCTGGCCCGTTGGGCCGGCGAATTGATGTGATCATTGTTTTATCGGTGTTTTGCCGATCGGCGCGGGCCCTCGCGACCGTCGGAACGCCAGACTGAAACGCTTCAGCCTGAGTGTAACGCTTGCTTGAGACCAAACCCAGGGAATGCTGGACGAGGGTCTGGGAGAAGCGAACGTGGAAGGGAGATACTCATCAGAAATGCAATGCGGAAGGGGTAGCACTTCGCGCTCACCGGCCGAAGGCGGGCATGATCGCGCGATTACCTCGCTTGCAAGTACAAAAGCTTGCTTCCGCTGCATGTCCGCCAATAACACATTAAAGCAGGAGCCAGTAGATCTATCTTCTTCGATGCACCGTTCTGCCATGTACTCCGTCTTGTCTCCCATTGCGTCGACATGTATCCCCTCCCGTTACTTGTATTTCCCCGCTCCTTCCCCGCCATTCTGCCTCCCCATCCACTCCCCATTCGTCCTTCTGTGGTGCACCTTTTTTAGACGCGTGGCGTCCTCTGTTTATGAAGTGGCGGAGACCACACTTTTTGGGGTCGGCAGCCTCAGCACGTGCACCCTCGCTGTTTCCAGGAAGAGGCGGAGGGCACACTCTGGTGGTCGACGGCCTCAGCACGTGCACCCTCACAAATAATGGGGGAGGCACCCTGTCGCCGACCATAGGTATAGCTGGTAAATTCCAGAGCGGGCTCCTGCGGCAGGACTGCCACAAAGGGAAAGCTGGCAGGGCGGGCAGAGCAGAGATGCAGAAAGAGAGAGAGAGAGAGAGAGAGACCCCGACCCCCTCGCGCTGCGAAGAAGCCACGACGGGAGGTCTCTCTCGCCTCCTTCGGCCTCCGGGGGCCCTTTCCTGGCCTCGGGACCGTCCAAAATCGCCTGTTGTGGTAATGGGGGTGACCCAAATGGGTGGGGGGGGTGAAGAGAAGGGCCTTGAAGGGGCCCTTTTAGGGCCCCTCTCGGAGCCAGCTGGTGCCCAAAAGAGACCCTGAAGGGCCCTTTGAAGGTTTTTTTTTTCCGCCCTATTGAGGTTACCCCCCATAACCACCCGCCCGAAAAAACCTACCCGGGAGGAAAAACCGGCCCCAGGGAAGGGGTCCAGACCTTTGGGGTTCGACGCTGTAGAAAGACACGACGTCACGCGACAAAGAGGGACAGGAGACATAGGAAGGGAAATAGGGAAATGGGGAGGGAGAGAGAGGGAAATAGGGAAATAGGGAGACGAAGCGAAATAGGGAGACGAAGGGAAATAGGGAGACGAATGGAAATAGAGGGAATTTGGGAGACGAAGGGAAACAGGGAGCGGGGCCGGAGAGGGAGGGAGAGAGAGAGAGAGACAGACAGAGACAAAGACAGAGGTAGAAGCAGAGAGAAAGACGGAGGTTGACAGGCACGCAGACAGACAGACATTTTGAGACAGACAGACGGACGGACGGACAGACAAGGAGAGAGAAACGGAGAAGCCGCGAAAGAAAGAGAGAGAGGGAGAGGGAGGGAGGGAGGGAGAGAGGACTGTGAGAGATAAGGGCAGCACGGCTGGAGTCATTTTTCAAAAGATGCGCGCTTGAAGTGCGACCAACGAGGCATTGCCGACGTCCTCCCTCCCTCCTTCCCAACTCCCACTCCTTGCTTCCCCTCCGTCCCAGAGCCCCGTACGGTCCCTTCAGAAGCCTCAAGACCACCCAGAACCAATTGAACATCTTCCCACTCCGCATCCCTCTCCATCCTCTTCCCCTTTCTCCGACCTCCGCCTCCTGCTCCCCCAGCCTCCTCCTCCTCCTCCTCCTCCTCCTCCTCCTCCTCCTCAGCCTCCTCCTCCTGTTCCTCCTCCTCCTCCTCCTCCTCCTCCTCCTCCTCCTCCTCCTCCTCCTCCTCCCTCCTCCTCCTCCCTCCTCCTCCTCCTCCTCCTCCTCCTCCTCCTCCTCCTCCTCCTCCTCCTCGTACCATCATCATCAGCATCATCAGCATCATCATCATCATCATCATCATCATCATCATCATCATCATCATCATCATCAGCACCGTCATCATCAGCATCAGCATCATCATCATCATCATCATCATCATCATCATCATCATCATCATCATCAGCATCATCATCATCAGCATCATCACCCCAATTATCTTGCTCATCCCTTTCTCCTGGGACACATTGGGAAAATTTTTCGGATTTCACCAGCCAATCACCGAGTTCAACCGAGGGTTTTCGAAAGCGTCCGCGTTCACATCCTGTCGCTCCTCCTGCTTTACCGTCACCTCCTTCCCCTTCTCTTCCTAGACTGGTTCCTCCTCTTCCACGTCCTCCCCCTCGTCCTCCTCCTAGACAATTTGGCTCAAGCCGTTCCGGTTCAGGCGCACTTCGGCCTGAGCTTGACGCCGCGTATAGTCAGAACGGTTCGCGGCGTCGAACCCGCATCTACAATCACGTCTTTGAGTGCGGCGGGAGCGAGGAACCGCCGTACTCGACTCAGTTTTCTCCCCGGTGTCTTGTTTTTGGTTGTGGTATTCTGTGCACCCCAGCGGCTGCTGTTGGGCAGCAGGGGCTTACCATAATGGGAGAGAGCAAAGTGCGCAAATATTGGTTCTTCAAGGATCGTGCGCACCCCAAGGCGGGCAAGCCGCTCATCAACTGGGGATATATGTTGCGTCGCTTGCGTTGCAAGTTGCATAAGCAGTCCGTGTTCCGTGGGAACTTCGAGTATGATGCACCATCGATACGGAAGCGGAGAGAATGTGATGGTGCTGGAGCTTCGGTCGAGGAGCGTTTTGCGGAACCGCCACTAGCTACTAACTAGAAGCTCATCGATCGCTTGCAGACGGAGAATGCTCAGCTTCGCGAAAAGATGGGCACCAGCCAGGAGGAGACCGATGCCAGTGTAGACATTGCTGCTGCCGTTCCTGACGTTGTCTCTGCGGCAGTGGCTGAAGATCGGGAGGCCAAGCGGCGTCTTGAGATCAAGGAGCCCGAGGCGGATTTGGAGGCGACTCGTGGTCTGGAGTCTACCTGGGCAAAGTTTCAAAGGCCGGAGCCCAGAGCTAAGTTGGACAAGCTGCGCACTGAGGTGTACAAGGCTAAGCCACTGCATGATGAGGCCCATGCATTGGCTATCCGAGTGCGTGCGCAGCTACCGACAGCGAAGCGAAGCCGGAAGAGGCCAAGCTTATGGCCGAGAAAGCTAAGGCTGCACAGACGGAGGCGCAGGCTGCCTTGGACGAGGTGAATAAATCGTTGGCGGATTTGGAGCAGCAGCTAGGGGTGCTACCGACACTGGCTGCTGGTGGTGATCCGGCTATTGGCTCCCAAGCGTTAGGCATCTCTGGGACAAGTTGGGCGGATTCATTTCCAAAGCGGCGGACGGGCAGGTGTTTTCAGTCGGCCTTGGATCGCATCACGGCGTGTTTCGCGGATGCACTACGAGAGTTGGTGGTTACCCAGACGCTCGACTTCAATCGCAATAGACATGTTGAACGTGTTCGCGCAGGAGATACAACGACGTTGCTGGTAATGTAGCTTCGGCTGCGGCTGTCTCTGCGGTCAAAGGTGTCTGGTGTCCTGATGATGAGATGATGGAGAATATGACGACTGTGCAGGAACCCTTGAGTACGGCGAGTGTATCAGATGAGGAGTTGCGTTCAAGGACTCGGAAGCTGGCTGCAGCAGGGCACTATCCGCGACTGCAAGTTGCTGGGCGTGCAGGACCAGATTTGTTCTGACGGGTGCATCCGTGGTCTCCCCTTGACTGGTGGCGCTCACGGGTGCGATTGCAACATCGCCCTCCAAGGTTCCTCGGAGCCGTGGTTGACAACTGTGATCGGCGTGGTCGCTGTCTTTTATGCTCAGGACTGCAGAATCAGGTTCGAGACTTTCGTAATGATGGGATTTGGTCATCGGCAACTTCCTCGGCAGGGTGCGCAGGCGCCACTGGTGGGGTGGCGATTCTTGTGAGGGCGTCGATTCCTGTGACCTGGCCGCTGTTCTTGCTCTCTCCAGATCTAGTTCCCGGTCGGCCTTCGGCAGCGCGCGCTCGTTGGGGGCGAAATCGGGAGCGACTGCTTCGAGCACTTATCTTCCGGATTCTGCGGGAAAGGAAGAGCGCAATAAGGAGGCGTTGCGGGCTTTGCGCGTCGCTGAGTTACAGGCGGCGCAGTTAGACTGGGCAGCGGCTGGACACTTTAACGCGCCAGCTTATAGATTCGATG